GCTGTACATGCATTTTTTAGTTTAGATGGTAAAATCATACGTTTCTACAAAACGGTAAAGCCTTTGTTACCTGCACTATGTATTAGAAGTGGCCGAATTAACGCCATAGCCCATTTTCCGACCAACTGCGATTCGAATCTGCAGAGAAATGAAAATTATTGTTTGGAAAATATAAAATTACACATAAAACTATACCTTAATTAAAGGATTTTGTGAGAAATTTAAATACGTGTGTAGGTTAACCTTTATTTTTATCATAAGCGGCACGATCTACATGGTTTATTTAGGTGGTTTCCGTTCATTTTAATAATTTGCGACAGACTAGAATTAATTAATGCTGTAAGAATGAGCCTAATTTGGAGTCTAATGCATGTGAACGTCCTGCAATCCACTACACGGCATAAAAATACTTCATGGCAGTTCCAATCATATCGTGGAATGGATTTCACACTGACAGAATTCTTAATTCTCCGTCATGTGACAGTGGTGTGTGATACTCCGTCATGTGACAGTGGTCTGTATAATTCCCCCCTTGTTACCTTATTTGACTATTGTCGAAGTTACCCCCCCCCCCCACCCTCCAAAGCGTGAAGTCTTTTTTATTTGACTCATTAAAAGGATCTTCTGAAATCATCCAAAATGATCATAAGAAACTATGAAATTGGAATTCTTCATAAACAAATTATTTATTTCACTCATTAATTCCCCTTCGTGTTATTTAACGATGTTTACGATGGATGGCAACTACTAAATGTTTTTTCGGACCAGAGAACTTTACTACAATTCGTGACAAAACACTTTGGACAAAATATAAAATAGGCTGTAAGTTTACAACATATTCGACCCCCCGTTCCCTCAGATCCTTTCAATGATGTGTGTGTGTGGGGGGAGGGGGTTGCAGTTATTAGACCGAAAGGTACTTGGAATTGTGCAGATATTTACACAGTATATATCACTATCCAAAAGCTATAAATTTAATTTGTTGCTAGTTCTGAGTATCTATTCTGCATTAGTATATCTATAAAATAGAGCCTGATAAACACCGTAATTAACCTGGTCGCCCCCTTCCCAGAATAGGTATATTTTGAGTAGCCAATGAAAATGTTTTTGGGGAAATTTGACATAATAACAATTTCACACACTAACAGCAATAATGTAATTGTAGTTTAATTAAACTATTAATTTTTCATGATCAACAGTAAATTATAATTCGTATTAACCAATTTAATAAAAAAGACTAGCCAGGTGAACAGCCGGAGTTTGTCTCTCTCACATGCGTCCAGACAGGGATTTGTGTCAGGCCCTGCCATCCACAGAAAGTAGAAAACCACAGACAGCAAAAAGATGAGATAAATGATTCGAGGGATTAATAATAAAGGCATCGGTGTTTATGAATGTAACTGATCATAAGTCTGTATAAAAAAAGAACCCACCTCTGCATTGCAAACTCCATAAATAAGAAAGATAAGAAATCCCTATAGAAAGTTAAAAAATTACTTCTTCATTTAAAATATATTTTAGTAAATCAGATATTACATATCATTTTACAATACTTTATCCTAGTATATAACAATCAAACGATTTTTAGAACGCTATAAATACGCTGAACGCTATATAATGAGACTCGAAGCAGCCATATTGCATGGTACCATGTGACGTAATGTTCACCAACTTCTATTTACAGAACATGTCTTCTCTCCCAACAAAAGAAAGAACCTATTGCAACCTTTTCTAACATGTTAACAGCAAACTGTAGATTTGTGATGTAGGCCGTTTGCTGCATGCGTCCCGATATCGTTCACTTTCATTTCACCCATCTTGGAACTGAAATATTTTTACAGGAACTAACACTTTCGAACTGGCTGAGTTCAAATCCGAAAAGTTCCCGCTCCGTAGATCTGCAGTTTTATCACAAACTGCAATTTTATCTTCACTAATTTCACGACAACTTTTTTCATTGTTCAACGAACGACACGGATCGATGACGACAAACAATTATGTCACTCATAAAGACCAATTTCTATCAACCAGTCTTCCTTTTAACAACCGGTTTTGCTTGAATCATTTTGAGTTATGTTATATTATGCATGCATGTTGGACGTAAACAACATATCTTGACTACAACTTTGGGAAGGAACAGATAAAGCTTTCTGAAATCCTCAGTTCTGTGTCTATCTCAATAAAATCACAGGGACGGATTAGCTAAGTCTTTTGGTTATGTCTCTGGGCTGTGAAATAACTCTTTTAACGCGATCAAGGTATTTAAAACAAAAGTAACGCAAAGCCAACGGAACGGCAAAGACAACACTAAAATGAAATATCGTCGATGGGTTGCTGGTATAGAAGATTTATGACAGGATCACTCTTAAATAATCTTAAATTAAACTAGAAGAATAAATGTTCACATTAAAGACAAATATCAGTGCCAAAGTATAAGATCTGCTCTGTAAACGTACGACGAAGTGGAGAAATGTGTGCATGAGCTGTTTATTTGGTGATTATACAACGTATACGAAAGTCCTCTTTCCAATAATACTTGCTTATCGCATAGAGTAACACCATGCAACTAATATGATAGTTCAAATGCAATAATAAGTTACCTCTTGAATTACGTCTCAAAAACTGTGCTGGAAATTTAAATGCTGACCCATTACATAACATCACCGTTTTACATCGTTGTATAAAACATTTTGATCGCATGTAAGGAATTACTTCTCAGCCCAGAGACATAGCCAAAAGACTTAGCATTAACGTCCTTGTAATTTTATTGAGATAGACCCAGAACTGAGGATTTCAGAAAGCTTTATCTGTACCCTCCCAAAGTTGTAGACAAGATATGTTGTTTACGTCCAACACGCATAATATTACATAACTCAAAATGATTCGAGCAAAATCGGTCTTTTGTTAAAAGGAAGACTGGTTAATAGAAATTGGTCTTTTAGAGTGACATAATCGTTTGTCGTCATCGATCCGTGTCGTTGAACAATGAAAAAAGTTGTCGTGAAATTAGTGATTACGTGAGAAAACTGCAGGTCTATAGAGCGAGAACATTTCGGATTTGAACTCAGCGTGTTCGAAAGTGTTATAGTTCCCGTAAAAATATTTCAGTTCCAAGACAGGCGAAATGAAAAGGCACTTTTCGAGCGAGGTCACAGCATACGGCCTAATGGTAAGATCGATATGATTGCGATGGTCACTCTTCAGTGATGTGCTCGGGTTATAGAGCTTCGTTTTCGTGATTAAGATATTCAGGGTTCAGAGCAGTTTATTTCTAACTGCGGATAACACATGCAGTTATAAACAGATATTTTAATTCACACGATATAACTGCATGATTTCGTAAATGAGTCATCAGTAAGAAGATAAAAGGGCTCTAATAAAACCGAATATCTCAATCACGAAAACGATGCTCTATAGCCAAGACTGAGCACATTCCAGAAATGTGTATTAAAGTCGATGGCCATTACAATCATATTGATCTTACCACCACAAATTAATTTAAAGTTTGCTGTTTACATGTTAGAAGAGATTGCAACAGGTCCTTTCTTTTGGTGGGAGTGTAGACATGTTCTCTAAATAGAAATTGGTGAACATTACGTCACGCTATTATGTTTTTAAATATACTGGTGTGACGTAATGTTCACCAATTTCAATATTCTAGTTTTTCATTTGGCTCGTTGAGTTTAAATGGTGCTCTATCCGGTAGTACGGATTTAAAGCAGTGTCCTGCTCGGAGGTTTACATCCCTTCAGTAATTTTGTCTCCAATAACTTTCGGTAATTTATAGTACAGTAGTTAATCATGCATAGGGTTTGATTTATGAGGAGCAAAATTTCATTCGGTTACGGGTTTGTTAATCTCAAAAAAGAATAGCTTAGAACCGATAAAGCTGTCCAGGACAATTACAATTAGTTTATAAAAACGAGGCTCTATAACCAAGGTTTAAAGTGCTCTCCGGATGGATGCATCTATTTTGCATAGTGGATGTATCATCCAGTCCTACGGTTTTCGGATACCTTCGATTGTTCTCAATCAGTTTTGGGTTTCGACCGTACAAAACCTGATATCAATATTTCCAGATTTTGAATCCATAATTCAAAAACCCGGTATAGGTCTAGAATTAAAAATTCAAAACCTGATACCAGGCAAACAAACACGTCAAAATGAAACCACAATGTGAAATTAAAGAAAAGCGTTATTCCTTAAATTTTACAGATCGACCATATCAGTTGATCTTGTTCCTTGACGTTCGCGAACTGTATTCACATTTCTTTGCTTTCTGCATCCTTTTATACGCTGGAACGCTGGTTCTATAGCATTCCCGTACTCTGTGTGGCCTTTCAGAAAAGCCAAAGCTCAAAGGGTCAGCCTATATCACCTCAAATGACCAGCTCAAATTTAATTCCAAATGTTAAAACTACAAGCTTCCTCTATGGAAGTCTGCAGTTTTCCAACATTCCGTACCGCAATGAATTACTAAGTATTTGCATATATGTTACTAATGATGATTTTAAATTTCCAACGCAACAAAGGTTTTTTTTTATCCTGCATGATTGTGATCAATGTACTCAGAGTTTTTGAATAACAAAAATAGTGCGGTTAATTAAATACAGTGATTTTATTAAACAACATACAGTGTGTATAAAAAAAAAACCTGCACCCTTTCAAATTCAAATTAGCTATAACGTATTGTAGTAATTTGACAGCTCTAATAGCTTAGAATTAATGTTGGGTAAGAAAAAAAGGTCTTGTACTCATGGGATAAAACTCTTAAAAACTTTTAAATTTTCTAATTTTTATTTCTTTGAGTTTCGTCCCATGAGTCTTACCCAAGCATAAATTCAAAGCAATTAGAGCTGTCAAATTACTACAATACGTTATAGCTAATTTGAATTTGAAAGGGTTCAGTTTTTTTTGTACACACTGTATATTTGAGTGAGATAGCTAATTACAAAATTGTTTCTTGCTTTGCAAAAAACAAAACTTCCAAAACCGATTGAGAACAATGGAAAATGGGTGAGATGTAAACAACATAACTAAATAATTATAACATAATTTCATTCAATGAAAAACCTACCACTTGGTGGGTATCCTATACAGGGTGTATAAAAAAACGAGACCTTTAGAAATTAACCTTATTGTTCTAATTTGAATGCTATTAGCACTACGCTGAACACAAGAGTGCGAAAAAAAATTGAATCGAATTTTTAATTATCAGGACCAAAATATATTGTGCTTCAACAACAATAGATTAATTTCCAAGGGTCTCGTTTTCTTTACACCCTGAATGCGCAGGGTGTCCCCCCAAAAGTATCCTCTATAGAAATTATCCTATTGTTATAATTTGAATGCCTGAGCACTATGCTGAACACAAGAGTTCGTAAACACATTTGAATTGTATTTTTAATTACCAGTCGCATAAAATCCTGTGCTTAACAACAATAGGATAATATCTATAGAGGGATAATATCTCTATACTTTTTTTTGGGACACCCTGTATAACACTGAGGAATTATTATTTACTCCCTCACCTGCAACGAAGTAAAAATTGCGAAGAGATATTTCCAGACCACGGCATCATGATTAACGGCGATAACACTGAATCCCCATGCTAATCCAAGAGTAGGGAATAATATAACAACACCACGGGCAGCAGAACTAGAGAAGATATAATGAAATTTACCTTCAAATATTTCGGTTATAGTTTCTGCGATCTGCTGTATTGCATTTAAGAGCCTCAGGGACAATCAAACAGGAAGTGGATTATGACATTAGCAGCATCAAAATATCAAAATACGACACTTGTGCAGTATTGTAAAAACAGAAACAACATGCATTAAGAAAAGCCTTAAGACGTGACTGCTTTGAAACAATTTTTTGAGGAAATAACATGATGTGAATATCAAAATTTCATTATTTTACAAATGATGTAACTTACATAATTCTCTTCTTGGCATCTGCTCCTTCCGACTTTGACGCGATACACAACACACGAACCACAGCAATTACGGTAACAAGAGTTACCTGTCGATAAATATGAAAATAAATTAATTAATTTTATACACATTATAATTAAAAAACTCATTAACAATTCATGAGGAAAATACAAAAGAAATGAATGTTTAATCAATGTTTGTAAATCGGATAAAGATTTGTCCGAATTTACATAATCGTCAGCTTTGATTTTCTCGGCTTAGACAATATTTATTTTTAAAATTACTTTGCCAATGAACTCATAAGACCGGTTGTATATATCAGATAGAGATCGGCTGCTCATGCTTTAACTAGTACTTAAAACATTGAAATGCTTAGTATACCGATGTTATGATGATCACTGGTGCATAGAAAATCCATAGAAATCCGTCTTTGTCAGACAGCCAGCACCTGAACAAAATTAAATTTTTAACTATTAGGTAAAATCAAATCCATCCATGCATGCTTAAATTTAGGCGTCTACCCTTATTCACAGACGAAACAGTAATGTTACGTTTGCATGCATTGTATCGGAAATCTTGTGTAGCGATGCAAACCCATACCGGATTGGGCTTGTGTTTAATATAAAATGATGTGACCGAATCAATTTCTGCATCAAAGAACCGGTGAGGCGTTTCGATCCGCTCTTCCAAGTGGGCGAATACCCTAGGAATATCCCCCCCCCCCCGTCGTGAAACTTTGGTCTTATTAGTGCCTTACACGTTTGAGATTGTAACTCTGGAAGTCTAAAAGTCTTTGTCCTTTCTGAAACATACGTATTTTTGGAGTATTGGCGGCAAGTTTTACCTTTCAGAGATTTACAAACTAATATTGAAATAATGCAAGTAAAAAACAGTTTCATACACGCGCATTCACTTTTTGCAACACTCTCATTGTAATTATAAACACCAATCGTATCAATTTTCGGTTCAATTCGTGAATGATTCAAGGTTGCCCCTAGCAAACAATAACTTGCTATTCCAATCTTACTTGCGGGTATAGCTTATTCTTTTAAATGATGTCGGTAATATTTCCGCTTTTGGTAAATATTTACAAGAAAATACAACGACATAGGTCAGATTCTTGTCAGAGGGCCTATATTATATAGTTGCATATTTGACTACTGCTCCTGGTTAGGTATAAATAAATGTATAAAAAATTACACTTTTCAATCCAGTGAGATACCCAAAATAATCCTGATATATTTACAAATATAATAATATGTAATATGTGAAACACTAAAGCTAATCGTTTTTGCACCGGTAACTGCTATGATGAAATGCTCAAATATACTGTTATGAGAAAGAAATCAAATTCAATAATTTCAGTTACCATTGCTCGTTACCATAAGCATCATTCTTCACCCCAGCAGATAAACCAACCAACAGCAAAGGGAATCCTGTTTATATTTCAAAAACATGCATCACTTGTAAGAAAATTTATTTTTTAGTGATCGCTAAACATACGTAATATATCATTAAATTAAATTACAAATAGGGTCCTGAAGGGACAAAATGGGAACCGGCGCGCTTTGCCTATTTTATGGAATGGGAAATGGAGTTAGTGTTACTGGGACTGTGAATGACAGACACAAAAATAGGTACGCAGTGCGTACATGTTGCATGCCATCAAAACCTAGCCTGAAAACAGACCTACAGTCCGACCGCCCTAAATATTCAAAACCATTAAACCTTATGACACAGAATACTATAAAGAAGTCCATTTCCTTTGTTTTTCGCGTAAGCGCTATTCGTCATGATTGATGGTTCGTCACTCAGCAAGTACCGTAAACAGAAGCAGTCACCCCCCAGGGCGCTTATATGGTCACCCTGGTCACCCCCCCTGGTTATGATGCGCCAGCGCTTATAACGTTTGGTACAACTGGCCTGAAACTTAAACTATTGATTCAATAGGTTTAATATCAATATATTTATTGAAAAATAGCTATTATGTCAAAATAAGAAAACTTTAGATTCTCACGCGAACAGGCAATGTTTTTAGAGCGACTGTTCACCGTTAGTTGCGAACGACGGTAATATAAACAAGGTCAAGGTTTTATCGAAAGCGATTGACTGTTATATTTCCTTTACTATTTTATAACTAAATAATGTTATTTCCTACAAATTTAGCTTTATTGTAGCTTTATTGAAAGTATAAAAAAACATGGAAACGGTGAATTGCTACAGATCGAAAATAATTATTAAACTATGATTGAAATTATCGACGTAGAATGCTATTGTAATTTCAATAGTATTAATGAGAATTTTGTTTGATATTTTTAATATATTTCATGTTATTTACAAAATGTACTGTAGTTTTGAAGTTTTGCACACAATATAATCAATGCGAGCACAATAACTCCATTTCAGTTTGAGTATTATATTCAGTCGCGCTATATAATAAACGCCTGATAAATAATCAGTGCGAGCACAACGGCTCCAAAATCACAACAAAATAATTTAAATAACAGAATATAAAGTAAATTAAAACAGCAAAGCTTTACCTACCTCGATGTATTTTTCTAAGGCGCTCGATTATGTAAATTTTCGGCGAACAATCAACATTTTCTCTGCATTTGCTCGACGAAAACCATAGAAGAAAACTTGCACACGATTCAAAACTTATATTTATGCTTATTGTTTATATTATCACAACTCGTCCCACGTGATCTGCCGCAAGTTTCACCAACGGACACGAATTTTAAGCTATATGATAGTTGCATGCCATATATTGCATGCAAAAAAAATGGGAATGGGAAAGTCGTATACCATTATATAGAGAGCTTTATTTGGACATTTCATGGTTTAAATAACTTAAAATATTGATACGGGGTGGGGTGGGTGAGGGGGGAGAGAATTTAGGTTGCTACCATATTACATGCACCTGATTTTGCGGTAAATTTCTGTTCGTAAACCTTTTTACCTTACATTATATTAAAGCCGATGATTTCCAACTCCGTTCTGCGCATCAGTTCTGCACATAACAAAAGGGGACCCCCAGATATAAACATTGCCCAAATTTTGCATCTTTCGAACTTTTTTGAATTGAAACGTACAGTTTATATTCATTTACAAGCATAGCGAACCAGAAAAGTGTTCGTAAAGTTCGCGCATGCGCACAAGAGTGGACTTCATCTTTAATAATTTATAAAGTATCAATGATTTCATTCTGGAAAATTTATTGTCAAGTATTTCTTAGACAGTTATTTAATGTAGCAACAGTAATTAAAAGGCTTTCGGAGATTACTAGATATATCGATAATTGTGTAAATAAATATGTCAAAGCCGCCATGTTGAATGAATTTAGCGAAGGATTGTTGTTGTTTGAAATTGAACTTGCATCCATCATGGCGAACTCTCTTTGTTTTATTAATCCCTAGCTGCACGGAGAAACTTTGAATACTTTATACATTTTTCTGAGTTTAATTTACGACCACAAAAAAGTTTACATGCATTAATTTTACAGATATAAATCATACCCCAACCAAATAACAGGAAATTCTTCATCCTCACAAACTCCCCATCATACACTAAAATAAGTTTTAAATACAGCATTACAGCTTCAAGGAGAATCCATGTGAAACCAGTCAAAGAAAAATAATGCACCAAGATTGCTATAACTTTACAAATTATCTATAAAAAAAGAATAAGAACAATTTAATTAATTGGTATGCGCAAATTAATTAGTTGGTACAATCTTTAATGGTATAATCTTTAATGGTATAATCTAATTTAATGTTGGTATAATCTTTAATCGTTAATTGGTATAATCTTAAATGCGCAAATCGATGTTTTGCAATTGAGAATTAATTTCAAAAGTGCGTATGCATGGTCAGACCATTATTTGCATCAGTATTTGCAGTTGACGTATTATTCTTACCAGTGTTTTGTACGAAAATTAGCCAATCAACGTTGAGAAAATGAATAAGTAAATGACAATAACATTTGCTTGCAATCATGCAAAGTCGATTGCTTTCCAGCAATTCATGTGGAATTCTGAGGTTAGATAATATATATTATTAGTATAAATGCATAGGTGATTTAATATTGAAAATTTTCCACGCTGATTGGTTGCCGTTGAGGTGATTATAATGTGATAATCACCTAAGCGATCTTCGAAATGGCGGCCAAAGTCGTTTTTTTTTCAATTAAATGACGAAGAAATGTGTATATATTTTTTTTCAAATAATTACCTAGTATGAAATTATACTAAAACAATTATTCACCACAGGCGTGGTGATTATCGTGGATAAAAACCTCAACCTTGTCTCGGTTTTTATTCACCAATAATCACCTCGCCTTGGGGGAATAATTGTTAAATGTTGACCAAGAAAGCTTTCGGGCAACAATATCTCACACAGGCAACTCAAATATTTTTGACGAGTTTACACTTGAATACATTCAACACAAACACGCAAGAGACCAACAACTGAAGAATATAAAACTACAATATATGTTTATTAGTAAAACACACGTGCATGAGCGGTGATAACACGGTGTGTTTTTGGTGCAATTTTTCTCGCATAGTTGGAATTGAGTTAATATTGTTATTGATAGGAGTGATCCAAAATATTGCAACGTGTACTAGCTGAGACGTCCATACAGAAGGCTATAAATTACCAACCTTGTCATTTGTGACACTTCCACCCGCGAGAAAGACAAGCTGCGTCAATCCCAAAGCAATCTGCAAGTTCAAATGTACTAAGTGACGACTTGTCGTTAAAATCTGAAGATCTTTGCTGAAATTTAAAAACAAATAAAACAATGAAAAAAATACAAGAGAAATTAGTATAATACAAGAATAAATATAATTAGTACAAGAAAAATTATTATAATAAAAGATTATTATTAATTAAGCATTTATAGTAATTTCTTTTGACAAAAAACAAACGACAAATAACAGAGTACTGATAACAGATAATAGACAATAGAGAAGACACAACACATTACAACACAATGCACAATGCACAACGGACAACGGACGACAGACATTAGACAACCAACAACAGACAAATAACAGACAACCAAGAAACAACGTTTCCTTAAAATCTTGAAATCGTGTCGACGTCGGTTGTAAGCCTTAAAATAGAAATATATTTTTTGAGTTGTCACCAGTTTGAAAAGCAGAAATGCCTACAACCACAGTTAACTGTGTTGCAACAGACATTACAAGTGGAAAGACTAAAATCACGCTAGTTTAAGCCTAATAATACACGTATGCCCTTACCGCAGCTGGTTGCAAAAATACATAGACACTTTGTTTAGTTTCCAGCAATCATACCATACTTACTAAAGAACAATATAAACAACGCATGTGATAAACAGTCCAGCCAGTGAAAGTCCAGATCCAATATAAGTGATGAACTTCAAAGCAACCTTATTCGATTCACTGACCTAAATTAACGAAATATATTCTTGAATATACAGATATACTCATTTTTGTATAACCGGCAAAACCGGCGGAGTGGGGGGGAGGGGGAGCCCCCAACATTTCAAAATTTGATCTGAAAATAAAGGACACATTTGGGGGGAAAATAAAGAAATATTAACGTGGCCTCCTACACTTTTCTAAATTAAAGATTTTCTGATTTAGATATGATTTTCTGGACAATTTATTACTGTTAAAAACAAAGAGTCAGATACTCTAAAACATAACACAAAAACTAAAAAGTTCGGACTTTTTAACAAGCAACGCCTAACAGCCGTTGCTATGGCTACTACGACGTCACAAGATGGCGGTTATTTTATGTTTAAAGTAATTTAACTCGAAAAAAGGTCGGTAATTTCATAGCAACGGAAGTTAGGAGTAGTTTATTTAAAAATCCCGAACTTATAGTTATTGTGTTATACTAGTCAGATACTCTTTGTTTTTAATTAAACAAATAATAACTCTCCAGAAATTCATATTCAAAGCAAGAAAATCTTTAATTTTTAAAAAGTGTAGCAAGCCACCTTAAAATGATCAGACTTAAAATCATCATGCAAGAAGGAACAATATTAAGTCAGGCAAATGTTTGAATCCCCCATCGCCAACATTTCCGGACCGGTCATAAAGTAACTGCTAGGGTGGGCCGATGGAAAAATAGGTTTTCCAAAAAAAAAACGGTGGCCCATCCTGAGAACCTGCAAATAATTCAAAGCCTATCGTAGGTCATTGGAAAAATTTCACGACCCATCCTGCTATACATGGATATGTACAGTATAGCAGTCACTTTGGTCAAACCATGCGCTTTCTCATAACTTAATAGAACAAATTAATTGGTTACATATTTAGTAGTTTACTCACCAAATGTGATTTGAAATTGAAGAATCTTTATTTGATAATAATTATTAAGAAAAAGGTCATCAACTTTAGGGTTAGAGGTTAGGGGTTAGAGATTAGGAATTAGAGGTTAGGGTTAGGATTAGGATTAACGTTTGGATTAGTGTTATTGAAATTGTAGACCTATTACAACCCAATACTTTAACAACGTGTGGAAGTGCTGCTCGGCCAGTGTTCGTTGGCTTTTCGGAAAATACGAGTCTACGGTAATGCAAAGGAGTGGAATATTTTAATATTATTTTCAATTGGAATATTTTGGTAAATAGTTTGGTTCATATTCGATCATTTTGATGAATAAATATGCATTTTAATGCACACATTGGGATTCTACATTGTAGAAGACGTCAAGATGGTATTTGTCTTGTGTTACTAGACAAACTCGACTCCTCTGCTCCCTGTGTGTGATGTCATAAAGATTTTGCAAGTGCATGCAGAATCAAGTATGAGTCTTTGGAGAATGGTAATGAAAAAATCTCTCAAGTAGATTTGTGTGCTGAGCCTATTAAATAACTTAAACCAAGGTACCATATGACAGCATTAAAAACTTTAATTGCCAAGAATTATTTTGAAGATGATGCTGTAGAACAAGTAAATGAAATTGTAACTTCATTGGAGAAGCAAAAACAAGTAGCAAGTCAAAAGAAAGCGAAAAACAGCAGTTGTTGGAAAAAACAATGTACACTTGATTTTTTTGTCAAAAAATCATTGGAAATATCATCTCTTTAGTCAAATTCTATATCATCAGAATCTGATTCTGAGGAAGGGTGATGTGGATATTTAAAAATCAATGCCAGTAGATGCATGTGACTTGCAAAATATTAATGATATTAACAATAACAGGATTATGTTTTTTATTTAATTTTGAATTCACTTTAAATCTATTATTTTGTTATATTGAATGTTGATTTTTTTTAATAGGAATGTTGTGTAGTAGTTATACTTATAGTATGTATTGAGTGCAAACAGGCTATATGCGTTTTATGGCCCATCCATTTGCACAAAAACAAATTGATGGCCCACCCAAACTAATGAAAATAATTTCATGGCCCATCCTTATTTCCTCCGGCCCACCCTAGCAGTTACTTTATGACCGGTCCCTTAATTTAAAAAAATGGGATTCAAGATCACAACCTGAGGTTTAATGACCTTCAGCTAGCCCCGAAAACGATAAATTCTACTATCAATTTCTAACCTATAGATATAGTTATTTAATGTTTTCCGTTACCAAGTTCTTGTTCGGTTGAATTGGGTGCGTGCATGCCATCCTTTCGTACGTTGCATAAAAATGGTAAAACACTGACGTCATTAATGAATATGCTACAAATTTTGTGGCAAAATATTATTTCCAGCCTAAAATTTCAACACCTATATATTGCTCTGGGAAAACTGTGTTATAGAAGACAAAAATATAACTAGATATGAAAAGATAAAAAATAAAACCAACGCAGTAACTAAAATTGAAAAATATTAATAAATTAATTCTCGTTCCTATCATAATATATACCTTTCCCGCCTTAAGTACAACCATTGTAAAACTCGATAAATGATTTGTCAAACATTCAATATTTTCTCCTTCAATCGAACCAACTTCTGTCCCTGTTTTATTCCATTGATTGCCATCCAAAAACAGGCAAATTACCTGGAACAAGCAAATTTATATATAACAATATATAAATTAAAGTTAATGAGACATCACGTTTGGGAGCTGTAAAGAATTACGGACAACTGTGGCCAGGCGAAGGAACTGGACTCAGTTCCGAAATATCACATACTCGAACCGACCTGACCGTGTAGCTCAGTTGGCAGAGCGTTGGGCTAGTATTCCAACGGTCGTAGGTTCGATTCCCATCGTGGCCAGACATATTTTTCAAGCCTGCCCGGTGTGGATATGCACTCAGAGTAACATCACACAAGCTTTTTAAATTATATTCGCGCCAAAACTCTCAAATACGCAAATGGAACTTTCTGAAAATCAAAAATTTCCCAAGCAAATACAAAGAGAAAATGTTCCTGCATGGGCGAGTACATGCAAAGAGAAAGTTTTGCCGGGCGAGTACATGCACAGAGAAAATATTCCAGGGCGTGCCCCCAATTTGTTACGAGCCGGTCCCAAATATTTCATCGGGCTGCTCTGGTTTTGCTTACTCGCAACAAAACAATGTAAATCTAAGCATTTTTTTGTTTTGATATATATATTTTACTAGCAAAGCATTGGTTATATTAAGCTATATATGATAATATGGTTAATTAGGCCACATGCATATTAAAACATGTCTGTCCGAGCTGTGAGCATTGCAACTTGATAGCAACAGTTCAACAGTTTAAGTGTAATTCGTAATGTATCAGTTATCCACAAGATATCCATGTTGTCTTCTTTGCAATTGTTTAATATCAGCGTGTTAATTAAAGCAGCTTCGTTTTCAGCGATGGAGTTTCTTGGGAGTCGAGTCTCGTTCCTATTTCTTAATTCTTAATCATTGATAATGCATGTTCACTGACGCGTGAAGCTACTTTTATAGTGTTAGTCAGAGGATGACTTTGGCATCTTGACGCATTTCATATGCGCAATACTGTGCCAGTTCGTTGGTAGAAAAGTTGACCACAATCATGTCCGTTGACGTTATTTGTGGACAAGGCGTTTTCTTTAATCTTTAACAATATTTGCTTAGTCATGCATGTAAGCTATTTAATATAGTATAATATATAAAAAAAGCGAAGGTTACAGGTCTAGACTGGCGTTATGTCCATACTGTGGAAAAATGGAATAGCTTTAGAAACAGGCAAACACGATGCGAATGGAAAGTGTAAAATATCACGGACTGAACAGAATTGAATGAGACTGAATACCATTTTTGGTCGACGTCATTCAAACCCCGTGTTTCTCCATTCGATACATCACAACGTTGATATGCATAAAGTTTCTACAATCGTGGCTTACTTGTTCTCTTGTGATGTTTTCCAGCTTCTTGGAAAATTTTAAAGATACTTTTTCATTTCCCTTTAATTTCGATATTTGTTGTCCATTTGCAATATAGTCTAATACTATAATGTCGGAATACGCAAGAGGAGACGAGTTGCTGAAAAAACAAAAACAAAATAAACATTAAAAACGTTTGAAAAGGTAAAATTAGGCTCATCAGTGAATATGTTTTCCCAAAATATTTTTTTCAAAGATATGCTTCACCTACGGGCGTGTAAACATGGGCAAACCTTAATAGATATGCTAGTTTCACCTTGTCAGGTTTGCATGAAAAAAATCAGCTAGAAATCTTGCTTGGCCTTCATGGTTCTTTTCCGAAAACATGCATGCAGCAATAAATTGTTTCTCTATATGCAACTCCATGCTTTTTTCTTTCTTACGAAGTTGAAAATCATAATGACCAATTAGATAATGACCAACAATTGAATAATGACCATAAACAATTATATAGTGTTCTAGAGATCAATATTTGAATCGGAAAACTCATTTACATTTCGAAAAGCTAAATATGGCGCGCATTAATTTAATAAAATAAAGCTTATCTGTTTTGTTTTTTTATCGGTATTAAACAGTCACTGCTGGAAAATCCTTGTACCAGAAGCTAGCAGAAACAAACCTTTCAACCGTTTTTCAAAAACTTGCCAATAATCGACAACATTTAAAATCAAATTCATGACCAGAACGCATGTTATTATTTATTAGTATAAATTTTGCATATCAAATGAGCTTTCGCGCGTTCTGAATGGCTAGTTGACTGGTAAATCTGACGCATTATTTACAACCTGTAATGCCTTTCAAGAAGAATGATTCGGCAATTTTGGTTTCAAAATCGACGAAATTTTGAAAAAAATCGTCCCCAGAAAACGAAAAAAGCACAAAATGTTGTATTTAACTTGAAAAGTCAAGGATTCCTTTATCATTTTACTGTATCAAACGTATTCACAAACAATTTAAAACTCCGAAACATTCACTTCAAACAAATAGCAAAAACTATCCCAACTGTTGCAGTGTTGGGCAAAACTTGCCGTGATATTCTTTTAAAACCATTCTGTTTTGTGTCCTATAGGTATCTCAATTTGTATACGATACTATTTCTTTGATATGTCATGTTTTCATTGTGCTGTATATGGTGTCCTGCCGCTGTATTGTGTTTTCGAAACTTGTAAAGTGAAAAGTGTATTAAATCTTATTACGAGGCATTCGAGCAATTGTTTTACGTTCCACTTTACCAATTTCCTCAGCCATTTCCTGAAAAAATTAATGCTAAACAGAAACTATTTTTTTAATTCTATGTCTGGTGAAAAAGTCATCCCTGCATCATTCAGTTCGTAGTGTTTATGTTCTAAGCAGAAATCAAGAAAAACAGCTTTGTAATAAAGCAAAAAAGTCACACAGGAAGCCATTTTGAGAGCGTGCGTGTACAAGAAACACTGCAACACTAACCGTAAAACCGGCCGAAATAATATTTGGATATTTTGTTTCATTTACGGTGAATATTCACCGTGAATATTCACCTCCATTTTGTCTCGGGGAATATATTCACCGGTAATCACTTCGCATTCGGCGAATAATGGTTAATTATCAATGTGAAATATTATATACAATATACATACGATAAATGGCTGATGTCCACAAATAAATCCTTTAATTGAATTATAACTCTTTTCACCGTGCCTAGAAACAATCATTCGTATACCTGATTCATTATATACACGTCGCATCATCGGTTCTCTTACTTAACTTGGTGGTGAATAAAGGCCTATCTACGACAACGTGGGCGAGTTGTGTGCAGTGGCGTAGCTAAGGTGGAGGCAAGAGGGGGGGGCGGAGATCGGACGCTCCAATTGGCCGAAAGACTGCCCTTGTGAAAAGCTTAAATCCGGGATAAAATTGGCGGGGGGGGGGAGTGTGGAAAGATGATACTTATTTCTTCTATTCATCAATAAAAGTTGTAGTCTTCCTTCTATGGTTGCAAAAAGCACATTTGAACTTGAATGTGTGAGCTTAGCCGGCGAGTCTTGACCGACTTTAAAGTTCAAATATGCCGGCCAAGCAAGCTTCATTCAATTTTAAAATACGAAGACATCATGCTATTTTGCTGTTGTATTTGCGTGCACAGTACAAGGTTTTACAAATATATTTTTCGATCTAACAACATAAAGGGAGTTAAAAATGGCACTTTGTGGTTATAACCTTTCAAACCTCGTCCTAAAATACGTGAAATAGGGTCTGCCTAGATTCTTCGCGCCTTTGGCGCTCGCATTTGAAACGCCAAAAAAATTTTTCCCTCCTCCCCCAACGTTTAGACCCTGGCTACGCTACTGGTTGTGTGCATGATCTACACAGGACAATTCAAGTTGTAAACAGCTTGCATGCGACAATTTTACGAAATATTGTGTAGTGTACAATTGTGTATTATAAACCATTACTGATAAACAGGGCAAACAGGAATAGTGGCGTCAGAAGTCGCTTTCATACGATAGAATAACAATCATATAAAACAAGTCGTATTGGGCTTAACAAATGAGGTTACACCAAAACATGGCCGCATCTTCTTCTAAACATTCAAGAATTTATTGACAGAGATTTAAATCAGTCTCTCTTCTAATTACAAATTCCTGGTATTGTTTAGCACATGTTTACATTTATTTATCAGTACTTACAATTTGGTTGTTTTAGACACATATGCCAAATAGTTGCGTTTGGTATTGACGTTATGTTTTCTCTCCATTCGTGTAGACAATCCAGACTAGTGGTATTCATTTCTGAATTGTTAATTAAAGAATGGAATTTAACGAAGTTACGAAGAGAAAAAACTTCTCCAAAACAAAATGTTCCCCATTCTATCTGAAGTACTTTTAATTTTTCCAGCTTGCTTAAATTAATTTTAACCATCGTAGTTTATTCAGAAATATTATTAACCCACTATTGTCCAGTTATGCCATTTATCACAATCAAAATTAAGAAATAGTAAACGAGTCGGGTGCGTTTATGATTTGATAAAGCACGAAGAGAATGTTGGGAGAATACGAGAGAAGCGTGTAAAAAATGAGGCGTACGTTTTTCTATTTTTGGTATTCCTGTACCTTTTTCAAGTGTTGCTTGCTTTCGTGCAAAACTTGTCAAGCTGGATAATTTTACACGTAGAACTACGGGCTTTTGGACCAATGCAATTCGACAACAATAGTATTCTATCTAAATTGCAGTTAAAATAAAGTGTACGTCACCTGAACTGTTCAATATCTTGCTTCACACAGCTTCTAAATCCATAAGTACATTTACATGTAAATAAATACGACATATTTTCAAAATCAGCCATATTTATTTACATTGGAACCCAAGCTTTTGCGGTTCATACGAAATATTACGTCGGTGATTTTCACTAATAATAAGAGGGTAGGATCAAAGTGGGCGTTGTCACTCGCTAACCCAATCAGCTGTCTTGGTTCTGTAGCACGTAACCTGTTCAAATCGTTCCGAGCGTGAGGAATCTTATGACATTATAACACCCCCGATAAAATATTTTGGGGACACGTTTGTGCCATATAAGGAAGTTGGGGACACGTTTGTGCCGTGTATGGAAGCATGGTTTCCTCTCGCTTCGAACGACAAAAGAATTGGATGATCCTACCCTCTTATTATTAGTGATAATCAGCGACGTAATATTTCGTGTTAGCCGCGAAAGCTTGGGTTCTAATGTAAATAATTATGGTGGATTTTGAAAATATACAGTATTTGCATAACATGAAAATGTATTCTTCTGTGTTGGTGTAATGTGTAATATAGTTAATATATTCGTATTATTTAGTTAATATATTCATACGCCCAGTTTGACATTTTGATATGATTAATGACTCTGGAGCAGACAAATATATATCAAGTAGCAGTCGAACACGAACGGAGATTACCTTATATTTAATACTTAGAAACTAGTTAATAAATTACAAGATAAACTACATGGTGGCAGCGGTGGGATGAATATGAACGCCGACCAGTTTACAAAACCGGCAAAGCTCGAATTCGAAGGCAAAGTCGCCGAGAACTACAGACGATTTCGTCAACAGTTTGAAATATACATGTCTGCTACAGGATTCGACGCGACAAACGTCCCGAAAAAGAAACAAGCTGCAATCCTGTTGAACATAGCTGGCGAAGAAGCTATAGAAGTATTCAATACATTTACATTCGCAGAAGATGAAGATAAAGACGACCCTGAAGATATACTGGCGAAATTTCAGAATTACTGTGAGCCAAAGAAGAACATTACTTATGAAAGACATATATTCAATACGCGAGTGCAACAACAAACTCAATCGTTCGATGCGTATTTAACAGAGCTACGTGTCCAAGCTAAGAAATGTACTTATGGTACGCTTCAAGACGAACTAATAACTTCAAACCGTCATGGCGTGTGGACGTGTGAAAATTTGCTCAACGTTTATGCTTGCAATTTTGACTGCTCTGTTGTTGTATCTCCGCGTCAACTACAGGAGAGAATTTAAATATTATCCAGCTGATACTTCAGCATCATATTTTCCTCTTGGTAGATTTCCTGCAATGTCCTGGCGATATTTTAAACCAATTTTAATCAAGCCCACAACGAATGGTCGAAAACCATCAACTCATTCATCACGTAGGTTTAACAATTGGATTAGTTTTGTCTCGGGCCTCTTAATGCTGTGTGGCGATGTTAGTAGCCACCCCGGACCAGCTGTTTCTGCTAATATTTTAAATCATAAACCGGACAACTCTACTGCTATCAAGAGTCTCGTATTGAATGCACGAAGTCTTAAGAGCCACCACAGACTTAACGAAGGGCAGTCAGGCCGGGGGTTTGAAAACCTGCATCAGTTTCAACACCTTGTATATGCCGAGGATGCCGATGTAGTATACGTGAACGAAACGTGGCTAGCAAACGACATCATGGACTCTGAGTTGTTACACTCTGGGTATATAATCCTTCGGAAGGACAGAGAAAATAAGCGTGGGGGCGGTGTTCTTGTCGCAGTTAAATCAGAGTCATTCAGAACCGTCAGAGAATATATTACACCCTTATCCTCTGACTTGGAAATCGTCTGTGCGGGAGCAGTAACGAAATCAAATAGGAAATTTGTGTTTTGTTCTTGTTATAGACCTCCAAATGCGGACAGAAATTGGGTGGATCTATTTGCTAACTTTCTTGACGAAACGTGTAGTGTTTTTGACAATATGTTAATTTGTGGTGACATTAATCTACCGAAGATCCCCTGGGAATCCCCTGAGTTGATAGATGGTGCTAACGAACAGCGGTTTGTTGACACACTTAATGACCATTTCCTTACCCAACACAATACCATTCCCACTCGCGGGAATAACGTCTTAGATATCGTGATCTCAAGCGTCCCTGAGGAAGTGACCATAACAGAAGTGTTAAAACCCGACGAAGCTGAAATATTTAGCGATCACTGCGTAGTCGTTTTCGAACTTGCAATTTCTATTAAAGCACTACCGAAGAGTCAGCGTTTCGTTTATGACTACCGCAAAGGCGACTTTGACGGACTACGATCTTCCTTACTCGCCATAAATATGTCGAATATAATTTCAGATGATAATTCCGATATCAATAGAGACTGGTGCCACTGGAAAGACGCTTTACTAGCCTGTGCAGATGATTATATACCTAAAAAAAAAACTAAAGAAAAATAATTCGGTACCTTGGATTAATGGCCCTATAATTGACCTGATAAAGAAAAAGGAATCTATAAGACGAAAATTAAAACGATTTCCATCGAGCAATTTAAGAAATAAGTTTAAAGACTTACGCTCAGAGATTAAACGCAGAATGCGCGAAAGCCGCGATTCATTCTTTGTAGCGATCGAGCCTGAACTGAGATCCAACCCAAAACGCTTTTGGTCCATTCTAAAAATAAAATCCAAACATCGAAATATTCCTGAAACTGTATCCATGGCAACTGGCCTCTGTGAACCCGCCGTCGTCGCAAACCTGAGACATTATGCCGACACTCCAGATAAGATCGTTAATTTATTTAATCGGTATTTCGCATCGGTTTTTATCCCTCTCACAGACACCATTTTGACCAGCGAAAGCTCTGACCGCAATACAACAGGTGATCCAATTTTATCGGAAGTGACGTTTACCACCACAGAAGTCTTGGATATACTATGCAATCTTGACACTAGTAAGGCCACCGGACCTGATGAAATCCCTGCAAGAATTTTAAAAGAGACAGCTCATGAAATCGCGCCATCTCTTTGCGAATTATTCAATAAATCGCTAAGATTGGGTGTCTTCCCGGCGGATTGGAAGTCAGCTAATGTGGTCCCAGTATTCAAGAAAGGGAACAAAGAGCATGCCGAGAACTATAGACCAATCTCGTTATTATCAATAGTGTCAAAAGTGATGGAACGTTGTCTCTTTAACTCAATTAAAGATTATGTTATTGGCTTGATTTCTGAATGCCAACATGGTTTTATCGCTGGTCGTTCGTGTGTGACACAGTTAGTTGATGTGCTTGATTATATTGGGGCCCAGCTCGATAATGGTGGCCAGGTCGACACAGTCTACCTTGACATGTCGAAAGCTTTCGACAAAGTCAGTCATCCAAAGCTGCTTAAACGACTGCGTGATCTAGGGTTTGGTGGGAGGCTGCTGAATTGGTTTGAGTCTTATTTAGGCAACCGCCTTCAGAAAGTTACTGCTCTAGGCGTGTCATCTCAGACACTGCAAGTCACATCAGGCGTACCGCAAGGTTCAATTCTAGGACCAGTTTTGTTCCTCTTATATGTTAACACTCTACCTGACGCTGTGCATTCAGCAGAAATAGCAACGTTTGCGGATGATACGAAGATCTATAAAACCATAAGATCACCTGGAGACACCCAACTGCTGCAGAAAGACCTAAACAGCCTTACTTCTTGGTCAACATCTACGGACTTGATTTTTAACAAGACCAAATGCAAGGCACAGCGCATTACAAGGAAAATCAATCCAATCGTCTCTGAGTACTACATGCATGGAGCCTCACTTGCCGTTACCACTGACGAAAAAGACCTTGGGGTTTACATCTCAAATAATTTAACGTGGGTAAAACAGGTTTCAGAACAATGTACTAAATCAAATAGAATGCTGGGGTTTGTGCGGCGTAATACAAGATTTATCACGAGAACTTCAGTAAGACGTTCTATCTATCTCACGTTAGTCAGATGTCATCTTGGATACGCAACACAAATATGGGCACCCCAGTCAAAGGAGCTGATTCGAAAGATTGAAAGGGTTCAGCGACGTGCCACAAAGTATATTCTGAACTTACCTTTCCGCTGTTCTGAATCATACAAAGATAGACTGGTCAAACTGAATCTCCTCCCCTTAACCTACTGGCATGAATACTTGGACCTCGTATTTTTCTTTAAAGCAATCACGGGCATAATAACTGTGAATACAGATGTTCTTCCAGCTGTCCGATTGACGAGAGTAACAAGAAACAACAACAGTAATGTCACGCAGTTTATTACGAGAAAATGTAAAACTACAACCTTTCAAAGATCCTTTTTTAATAGAGCAACACGGCTCTGGAATATTCTAGTAAATGATCTGCAACTTACTCTCTCTCTTCCTCTCAGTACATTTAAATCAATATTAATGGAATACTACAAAAACGCTCTTGTCGAATCCTATGACCCCGAGGACGCTCGATCATGGAAAACAATTTGTACTTCATGTAACGTTGTTCGCAACATGTCAAGACGGCTAACTTGTTGTTTTTAACACATTTTTAGCCTAGTTTTTATGATCTTTGGACCCGCAGTAATTGGCTGACGCTGTTGCGGTGCTCCTGCCAAACTTAGTAATTTCTGTTATGTTATGTTATGTTATGTAATATATATATAGTAATTTTGTATATTTTTTGTTGGCGAAGCTAATAAAACTAAAACTAATAAGTTTTTATCAGTATAGTTTCTTGTCCAATTTCGGAAAACGCGAACTTGTGAGGTTTTTAAAGACGTCAAATTGCACTCGTCTATCACTTTTGAATTGAAAAATTCTCCCGGCTTAATTATTTTTCTATATTGCACTCAAGACCATAGTCCATACACGATATTATATATACCTATGCAATTAAAGGTACGATTCCTGTATTCAATACGCGAATGTTGTCTTGTTATCTATACGTTTTCTCATCCACCTTTATCTGTGAGTAACATACTTTCAGCTTGACTCTGAAGTAACGCAGTATTTCTCCAGGTGCATGGACACACAGTGACTCCAAATATATATTGAGTACTATAACTCAAATTTGTCAGCAAATTTGAGCATTGTTTTATTAAGATTGAGTAACATTTTATAAAAATTGAGTAAATTGCTTAGCAATTTTACTTTTAATCATATAGAGGGCAAAATTACTCAAATATGATTGGCTAATGAGGAGGGCATTTTTTCTTAATTTGGGGTAAAATCCTTGTACCTGATTAGCTGAGACACAAGCGCGGGTTTCTTGTTATAAATAGCAATAAAAACAATGGCCATGATTCTCGCTTTGTCGTCGCGATAATGATGTTATTGAAGAAATTAAAAAATTGAACACTAGAAAAAGTACAAATTTATTCGTTGCAGTAATTATAAAAATGGCAGCATTTAAGAAATATCGGCGAAAACATGGAGACATACGAGGTTTAAGAACTTGACAAATTCACAATTAACTTACGAATAAATTTTGCTCTCTGTGATTAACAAGTAGAGGAACTTCTCGTAAAATTAAGGTTTAATTTCACTTGAGTTTTCAAAGTTTCACAAATTGCCCTCGACATGTCGTACACTGTATTAAGAGAGTTACGAGACATTATTAAAATGTTTAATTTTAAACTCTGATTAATTGGTCATCCAGGTAAATAAACACTACATAATGCTACTGAAGATCTCTTCGAATCTCTAAATACGAAATCCGGCAAATGCATCTGTGTCCAAAATCAGATTACTAGACGCTGTAGAACCAAGTCCCTAGCGCCTTAATTGAGCAGCTTGTTAAATTAAACCAGCGAAATTTCAAGATAGTGAAAATAATTGCCATAAAAATTCCGCTGTACATTTCTTTCATTCGTTCAGCTTTTCACTTATTCTTTCATTCACTTGGGAGATTGACTCATGAAAACAGCTATAGCTGATAGTAAAATAATAAATGAGTCTATCAAACCAGTTATAATCTTCGCAATACTTATACTGACCTTACCCTTGCCCTTGCTAAGCCAAAACGAGAATTTCTAAAAAAAAGCTTTAAGTATAGCGGAGCTAAATTGTGGAATAGTCTTCCTTCTGATGCGAAGCTAGCGCAATCAATTTATTCTTTTAAAAACTGCCTGAAAGATTCACGCTAACATCTTCTAATATACTGTATATGCATGCTTTAGAAATATGGGCCACACCGTTTGGATCTTAATTCTTGTATTGTAAATAGTTGTATATAATTCTTTATACTTTTCTATCATATTTGTAATTTTTAATAGTAACAGACGTCCCTCGTGAAAATCAACAAATCGTTGACGAGGCTAACGTCTTTAAATAAAGTTTACATACATACATACATACATACATACATACATACATACATACATACATACATACATACATACATACATACATACATACATACATACATACATACATACATACATACATACATACATACATACATACATACATACATACATACATACATACATACATACATACATACATACATACATACATGCATGCATAAATACTAAGGTGATGGCAATGTGGTGGTGTATGGGAAAATATCAGGATTTGGAGCATCTCACTCGATAGAACTTATTGTCGAAGGGATTTGTAGATGGAAATTTTCGAGTGGAATTTTCATACATTTATTACACCTAACCAAGAGCAGTTACAAGAAATGCAACAATTGCGGCCCTCTGTCGGGAATAAAGCTTCCGGTTCTGCGATCCCGGTGTAGCACTCTAACCAACTGAGCTACAGAGAGACAGTCGTCGAGCTCTAACCACGAGTTTAGACACAAATACTCATGCCAATAAATGTAAGGTTTAAATATCAGCATATTGGGCATCTCGCTTGAGATAACTAATTGTTGAAGGGATAAACTTGTGGTTAGAGTTTTGCAACTGTCTCTTTCTAACTCAGTTGCATGGTTAGAGTTCTGAACCGGTACCGCAGGGCCGCAGGTTCGATTCCTGCTAGAGGGCCGATATAGTTGCATTTTCCGAAACTGTTCCTGGATAGCCTCTAAAAATTCCATTCGAAAATTTCGATCTACAAAATCTCTTCGACAGTTAGTTATGTAGAGCGAGATATCCAAAATCCTTATAGAGAACGAATACTGTTGAACTTGGCGATATTCATTACGTTTATTATACAATGATTTTTATTTGTACAATGTTTCAGGTTTAGTATTTCAATATAATTTGCTTGCATATACGCAATGATTAGGAAGTAGTTACGGTTAAATTTTATTAAGATACCTCCAGGCTTGTAGAATAAACACTTGCTTCAGCGAAAGTGAATCATAACGGTTCCTTTAAATATATAGCAGCTAAATTATCTATAGGATATATATACATGATTATTTTTTAACCTCGGCGCGGGTTACCACGGGCAAGTTACCGGTTGCCTAATAACTGAGACTATGCATATACCGATTGGGCTGATTAGAATTACACTATTGACACTTCATAAGAATTACAAAAAAGATACTAATTAAATATTTTAATATATGCTTATGCATGGTTGTATATGCACCTCAGGGGTAATCAATCTACGTATATCTAAGACGTATATAATATACAGAGCTAGACACGCAAAAGTAGAAGTTCAATACTGAAATAAATACTGAAAACTGAGTCGCTAAGTGAATTGTGTTTCTTTAACAAAAGTATATATGTACCAGTGTTTCAACTGAAAAGCGAATACATCGGCGAAGACTACCTAAATAAAAGATTTGGTCAAATAGTGTTCCAAAATCCTTTCATTGAATAAATTTTCGTTAGACCGGCTAAAGGTTCCACATTCTCTGTTGAACAGAGTGGAAAGAAAAGAAAAAGTCTTTGAGGTTCCGCAAAATAATCTTGCACAAACAGACGGCCGAAAATTCACGAAAGATAAAACCTCACCAGTAACCCTCATCACTTTTCTGACGGTCCGTCCCTAACTCGGTCATGCTTGCCTCGGCCATGTCAAAACGTAACCACGCAAACTATTCTGACGTGTCAATCTATATACAGGCATTAATAATTTATTTTATATACAAAACAACAATATAGGCTTTTCTCACGCGTCAGCCATGATGGAATGAAAACCGAGGCAAATAACGCAACGAAGAATGCAAAATGGCGAAGCTGCGTGAATGTTTACGGAGCAACTTTTTTTATTGCGTTCGTTATTTTGCTGTTCGTGCATTATTAACCTCGTTTTAATTCTAACATATACGGCTGACACATTAGAAAGGCCCATACGTCATGTTTAAGATTTTGCCATGCCATCGTTTGTTTGCATGGGGCATTTCATTGGTCCGTGCTCTCTTTGCATGAGATCTTCATTAGAGATAAGCTCTGCATTTCATAGCTTATGAACTGTTAAAGTGTTAAAAATGTTACCCACATCCAGGGGTTTCTACTCTGCAGCAGCATAGGACAAAGTTCCTCATATCCTTTATGCATAGTTCAATACATGCACATCGCCCTGAATTACTTGCAGAATCATCGCATTTTTACGTTTTCATTATCATCGGGCGAGGCGAACGCGTATATTTCAGAGCGAAACACATGTTAGAGTTATAAATCAAGAAAACCGACACAAATGAGATATAAGAGTTGTTATAAACTATTGCTTTTAAACATGTTGCCCACGGAGGCTTCCACTTTGCAGGCGTACACAAAACAGCTAAAGTCGTGGAATTTTTAAAGCGTAATACAGATCAGCCTGGATTATTTGCACTGCCACAATAGCTGTTCGTGAAGACTGATTTTGGTCTACGTGAGTGAAAGCGAATGTGCCTTTAATTAATCGAGCTCGTCTGTTTGACGTGACGGATAGACAAATAGGATTAGTTGCACAGCGCTACCACTGACTGGCAATAAGCTGTGGTTTAACTGTAACTCACTATGCGCACCTTTGTGATTAAGCCTTAATATTCAAAGATGTTTGTCGAAAGTCAAGATGGACTCTTATGTCCTATGATGTATATCAGCTGTTCATATTGAGGTTGCATCTAATTAACTGTTACACCTCAAGATTTTACCCCATAACGGTGATGGCCCTTGGGGGGAAGTAGCTCGCGCAAGAGGGGCATTGTTACCGGTCCAGCGCCCCACCAGTTAGGGCAAGGAGGGCATTCGCCAGTTAGGTTCATGAGGATTCGGGTGTGGGTTTGAGGTAAAGCAGTGTGCGTGCTCCATGTGTAATGGTACACATTTTAGAATTAAGGAAGGCTGCATGGAACCATGCGCTAGAAAGGAACCATGCATGCGCTCGAAAGGAACCATGCGCTCTAAAAACTACATTTTCTGCGCGTACAACTTGAAAATTGTATTTAGCAACAGACCTAGCGCCATTTAACACTGAGAAAAAAATTCTAAATTTGTATAAGTCAGTTTTGATTCTTAAAGCGGCGGTCAATTCTGTTCAGCGGATGCGCAGTTTGTGTAATTTTTGAAAACACTATATATTGATAAAATACAATGCACTTAGTTAATATTTGACATCGTTCTGGTTTGGTATGCTTTTAAATGAATTTAGATTAGAATTTAGAAGGTGTCGAAACTACGCGAAATTTGAGTACTGTTTACACCAAAGCTAGGTCCTCATATTGTGCATGCGCAGGACAGACTTGACCTCATCTTCTTTTAAGTTTGTTACACCACGAGCGCAACCTTTTATAAACACATTTCTCCTTCAGAGTAAGGACATAAGTATTTATGAAATGAAAATTAAGTATTTATAAAATGTTAATGAAATGTTGGCTTATCTTGTTCTCAGTGGAGGTAACTCTGTTACCGCAGGTGGTTGTCGTCTTCTTGGGCTTGATCGACACATTCGATGAAGCAGATTTTTGAAAGCCTCTCTGTACGTTTGGTCGAGACGGGCATAAATTATTGGATTGAACAGACTGTTGAAATATGGAAGTAAGGTTATTACTATTGTAGCTATGCGAATCCGACGTCGGTAGTTGAATGACGTGCTATCGAAATCAAACAAATTTGGATGGTAGAACCAAAGCAACATACCAGTAACGAAAGGACCCCAACAAAGTATAAACATTCCCACGACGACCAACAACATTCGGATATATCTTCAGATCTTGAAGTAAGGCACTTTGTTGGTTCCGATCATTGCAGGTTTGCCCCAGTTCGCCATTTCTCAGCATATTTTGTCGTTTTTGGGCAACAATAAAAATGAGAACGTACACAACCAGTATAACCACGGTGGATAGAAGCAGACTTATTGCCTGAAATGTATGGTATCCTTTCATTTTATCAAAATCGGTGGTGCTGCAGACCGGTCCATAGCTGCTTCCTGAATCAGGAGTGGCGGCGTAGGTGGCAATGGCAGCTGAAATCAACCAAATGGTGAAGATAATTTTCAATGATTTGGAAGTTGTCATTCTGGATCTATATTGAAGTGGCTTCCTGATTTTGATAAATCGTTCTCAAATTCATTAATAATTCATGAGCAATTCAGCCAATGATAATCACCTATTTGATCACAAGATGCCATTTGGATACCTGATGAAAGTCACTAGTGTTTTCATCAAATATCTTAATTACGCATGCAAAATTACTTGAATAGAATTCCTAATTACGTTATGCTTGGTTAAGAATTCTATTCAAATCAGCAAACGAAAACATTCTGTTACGTCTCGATTCATTTGAAAAGCCATATAAACAACTCGAGCTCGTGTCTCACCGGGATATCCAAACACTCGAAAACAATGTACGAAAACACTCGCGCTTCGCGCTCGTGTTCTCATACACTGTTTTCTCGTGTTTGGATATCCCGGTGAAACACTCGCTCTCGTTGTTCATATATTACATCAAAACTGATAAATGTCAGTGTATAAATAGATGCTGTTAACGCAAAGGTATCTATCCACACTTTAAAACGACATAGATGAATAGACATGGCACGTAGCGATTCAAAATTGCGATGTTCGTAATACACCCTCACTGGGTCTACAATCATACCAACCAAAAATCAGCGACAGCCAGACAAGCAACAAAATATTTATTTGGTTGATGAACACTTCTTTCTCTCCAGGTCGCCACCAAAACCAAAGTGTTGCCCACAATTGTACAAATATAGCGAAAATAATGAATGTGATTTTCTCCGCTAATTCAGCCTGTTCCTGAAATACAATCCATTTCATCATATCACTCTCCGTCCATGTATTCGTCTCTGTTTGATTGGTATGATTATACATCACAGCATTGTTTCACAACATCACTGCAAAATTTATCCTAAGGAATAGAAAAGAATACCACATTACTCAGATAAATTCTAACAGGGTCATAGGGTGCTGGATGTTGCTACTCCTCAAATTCTTCATGTATTGACTTCATAGTCAAACATTTAAATTATTTCAATGTGTTATATAGTTATTTTTATAATACGGTATGCATGAATTTGCAACACACTAAAATATGTTACAATTTATATTTTAAAAATCAAAATTTACGAAAATTTTGCCGAGAAATTTAAATATTACGGTACATTAATTCAAAAGTTGCTGAAAATTTATTTTTACTTCCCCCGCACGCCAAAAATTTTGGAGTAAAAGGATTAATTAGCGACTGAAATGTTTCATGTTCCATCAGTATAATACCCCCACTCCAACTTTGATCTATCCGTCACTAGGCATGGGCCTCAACAGACGTTGCTCATTCGTCGTCGTTTTCAAGACCCCAGCATGTCCCTGAACTTACAGTAAATCAAAATGAGTTTTGTTTTCGCGCTTGCAAAGTATTTCTTTCTTTGGACTGTATCAGAATAGAGTAACATTAATTGAGGAACTAACTTTGTAGGTCACTCTAACTATAACCTTTCTCCTTTCTTCTTCACAACGAGTACTATGCTATAGGCACTATTCTGCATGGTAATTTCTCGTGAGTTTTCAAATTGCAATCGTCCTTAATCGGAGTAGCGCAATTCTGATCGTCTTTGAAAAACTCTCAGTCATGCATCACTCACAATTGCACTCAAAACCACGAAAGAGCTGTTATTTAGCTTTTCTAATTCTATGATACCTTTTTTAAATCCTAACGATAAGAAATGGCCACATACTCGTCAAATAAAGATTGCCGATCGAAATCAAATTCTTCCACCGTTGGGAATTAAAAATACACTAATTTTGCAGAGATAATCAATCCAAAAGGAACGCGAGTTTGCTGCGTTATTGCTGCGAGATTGCATTTTGCTCGGCTAATGGCCGGTGGCCGACCGTTATATTGACCTCTGGTGTATGGGATTTACATCGTAGTCTGATCATGCTATTGTTGGTGCATGATTGCATCCTAATATGGTGAAGGGAGTTTAAATGACAGGGATAGGGACGTTTGGCAAAAATAAATGATCATAAAGGGATAAAAATGAATTATTACACCGTGCATGGTTTGATTTTATAAAGAAATTGATTATACAGGGGGGGCATACAATAATAACTAAAATATGTACATATATATCAAAACCAAAACAAAGATTAGTAAATGAATGATACGATATGGGCAATAGTTAGCTATAGTTCGAGTGTTAATTTTGCAACGTAGAGGATCCACGTTCATCATTGTAGCTACTTTGTTATTTTAGTTATAAAACATGACAGGCATGCTTGTTTTTCCTTGAAAACGGAATCAATGAACCAAAGGATTCCCAATTACTTCTAATAAAATAATAACTGTCCTGCTTTTTTTAGGTATTCTTGTTCATTACAAATATCTTTAGAAAAATTTGCTATGTTTTTTTCTTTTACATTACCCCACACTTTTTTCCTTTGCATGAAAATTAGTGACCCTCCCCCATTTTGCATCAGCCCCCCTTATAATTAACGACTGGTCCCCTAAGTGTCAGTCAAAACTTAAATGAAATTTGACGCTTGCAAAGTATTTTTTATGCCACTCTTCATGATCAACCTTCTTCTTTTCCTCTTCACTACTATGCCAGTAGCTACAGGTAGTAGTATGGTTTCTCGTCTTTCAAAGACTTCAAGTTGCACTCGTCTTAATCGGACTTGTGCAGTCTTGATCGTCTTTGAAAAACTCACTCATGCATGTTTTTCAAATTGCACTCGAAACCACCCTATTGAAGTATTGTCGTTGAAATTAACATTACAGTTCACTATGTCCTTAACTTACTATATGTTTTGGATAAATCAGTAACCTGTCTATATAATTACGATCTCTCCTCTAATTCGACCCTCTCACTCAAACATGGCAGAAGCCATGCAATGGGCTCAACGAGACAGTCTCATATAGATTAGAAAACATAATCTCAGTCGTATCGTAGATTTTCTGTCCAAGGGGATTGTCATGCATGCCCTGGTTTAGGTATGTGTCAAAGGGGAGCTACACCATTCTAATAGGGCCGTATCGAGGAAATATGATCCCTAGGACAGTCAGTCTCTCTTAACGGGTTTTATACCCCCGTAAGATGAAAACGTAAGGTGAATGAGTATTTGGGCTGACCAGAGTTTAAGAGTATAATGTATTATAATTTTTTCATGCACCTTTCCACATTTCATTATATTGACTCTATTCCTATATATGTTTGATCACAGTCAAGTCTTCAATGACGTCCATGCAGAGATAGTGTTTAGCAGATATTTTATGATGATCACGATTGCGCATCATCTGTTTATTGTTCGAATTAAAGCCGGTTTTCCACTAGGCGGAATTTTGCGCGCGGAGCGGAATCTTTCTTTTTCTTTTCTGATTAGTTCCACCCAAGAAATCACAAGACAAAGAAAAATTCCGCCTATAGGGGAAAACCGGCTTAAGTCGTGGAACAGAGGAGTGCCTTATATCTTTCTAGTATAACATTAATATTGGATTGGCAAATCTTCCATGCTATAAGTCAAGATCAGTAATGATTTTTATTTTTTGCCTGCAGGCACATTGCTCGTATCAACATTAAACCGTATACGTTAAACGTCATTAAAGTATGGCGCTCTTTAATGTTGGGTTTAACCCGCTGTTTTATTCAGACTAAGTGCCATTAAATGTAATTTTTGGACCAGGAACTGGTCCCCAATCGCTGCTAATCTTGTCGTTGTCGTTGTCGTTGTCGTTGTCGTTGTCGTGGTCGTGGTCGTGGTCGTGGTCGTGGTCGTTGTCGTTGTCGTTGTCGTTGTCGTTGTCGTTGTTGTTAGGGGGCGACGCTCTTTGAAAAAACCCGCCATTACTTGTCTGATCGGAATGAAATTTAACACAATTATTCTTAGCAATATTCCGCATCGATTGACGGTGTTCGATTTTTCATTTTTGACTTTAGAAGCAAGATACAAGCAATTTTTGACTGTATTTATAGCAAATAATATACAGGGTGTATCAAAATAAACGCAATTCATCTTTTGTGCTTAATATAACTTTCGAAATACTATTTCTAGTTAAACGCTTTAAGGCTTACTTCAAAGCATGTTCTTTTCTCTTTCAAATTGTTCGAATTAAAGCCGGTTTTCCACTAGGCGGAATTTTGCGCGCGGAGCGGAATCTTTCTTTTTCTTTTCTGATTAGTTCCACCCAAGAAATCACAAGACAAAGAAAAATTCCGCCTATAGGGGAAAACCGGCTTAAGTCGTGGAACAGAGGAGTGCCTTATATCTTTCTAGTATAACATTAATATTGGATTGGCAAATCTTCCATGCTATAAGTCAAGATCAGTACTGATTTTTATTTTTTGCCTGCAGGCACATTGCTCGTATCAACATTAAACCGTATACGTTAAACGTCATTAAAGTATGGCGCTCTTTAATGTTGGTTTTAACCCGCTGTTTTATTCAGACTAAGTGCCATTAAATGTAATTTTTGGACCAGGAACTGGTCCCCAATCGCTGCTAATCTTGTCGTTGTCGTTGTCGTTGTCGTGGTCGTGGTCGTGGTCGTGGTCGTTGTCGTGGTCGTGGTCGTTGTCGTTGTCGTTGTCGTTGTCGTTGTCGTTGTTGTTAGGGGGCGACGCTCTTTGAAAAAACCCGCCATTACTTGTCTGATCGGAATGAAATTTAACACAATTATTCTTAGCAATATTCCGCATCGATTGACAGTGTTCGATTTTTCATTTTTGACTTTAGAAGCAAGATACAAGCAATTTTTGACTGTATTTATAGCAAATAATATACAGGGAGTATCAAAATAAACGCAATTCATCTTTTGTGCTTAATATAACTTTCGAAATACTATTTCTAGTTAAACGCTTTAAGGCTTACTTCAAAGCATGTTCTTTTCTCTTTCAAATTGTTCGAATTAAAGCCGGTTTTCCACTAGGCGGAATTTTGCGCGCGGAGCGGAATCTTTCTTTTTCTTTTCTGATTAGTTCCACCCAAGAAATCACAAGACAAAGAAAAATTCCGCCTATAGGGGAAAACCGGCTTAAGTCGTGGAACAGAGGAGTGCCTTATATCTTTCTAGTATAACA